ATTTAAGAATAAAAGTGAAGCTTGAGGAAGATACATTATATTCTTCTTGGAGAAATGAAAAACTTCTTCAAATATCAGTCAGCTCTCTGTTGAAAGAACTACAGTGCATAGAGTCTTCAGTTGAAACCTTCTGGAAGGTGTTCAACAAAAACAGAAGCCAATACTTACTGGTTTCCATGCCCTCGTTTGAAACAACACCCTTCGTATGAAAAACAAGGTAGCCCATAGAGATCCTGTCATTTTTAAGTTATACAAACCTTTTTTTAATGGTTATATGCCTGCTGTTAGAATATAGGCAAAAGCTAGATAAATAAGGAAATAGATAAAGCATGAATTTATAAGCCCACCTAATGTTTATGAGTTGGATTTTGGGGGGCCTTGGAAAAAGCACCTTTGATAAAATATCCCTCAATAATTGTAAACCAGTTTGCATAAAAATAGTAAGGAAGTAGACATGAATGATGGAGTAGAAAGAAGGTTATATTGAAATTGTTTTTACAAAACGCTAAGCAGAAATCTAATCAATGTGGACATCCAGGACAGCTAATTCAGTAAAAAGTAAGCTTCCCCCTGAATTTAGCTTTCAGGGATGGTCATATTAATCACATAAATGCCAAATTTCTAGGACTCTGATTTGTATGTAACATCTATGTTACTAAAACTTCAAAAATTCTGAATGTCAGGGAACTATTATGACTGAAAATTACCACTGTCTAAGAGCTGATAGATCAATGTCTATAATGAGTCTCCAAATAACCCCTTACACACTTCCTTCTCTTCATTATATAAACATGCCTAGATATTCACTATGCTAAAATTAAATAAAATAAAAGGATCCAAACCTTTCCTGAGTCTTGCTTCCTGTTCCAGGTATTACATTCTCCACTCCCTTTTCCCAGCCCGAGAACTACCATAGTGTTTCTGGGGCTAATCATGCTGACTGGGGCACAGTAGGCACTCAAGTGCTGATTAATGAATTAATACCTTCAAACAATTAAGTATTCTCTGACCGTACTTCCTCACCGTCCACTATTAAACCCAAACATTTCTTTTACTCTTGAGTCTCTCCAGCGGGCAGCATGAGGCGGCTGGTAGCATTGGCTCTGAGACCAAATCAAATCTTGATTCCGCCCTGCCTTCGTTCTGGAATCTTGAGCAAAGTTATCTAACATCACGATAGCTTAACTACTTCCTCTGTAGAATGAGAATTATGCTGTGGATTCAATGATTTAATATACATAAGCACTCAGCACAGTGCCCCGGAGAAAGCAGGCACTCAAATGTTAGGGGTCACTATTATTACTATTATTTGACTTGATCTATAATGCAGTTCTAACATTGCTGACATTGTTGATGACGCTTATAATCTGTATTAAGAGTAGATTAGCACTTATCTTTAATTTCTGGTTGAAGTCTTACAAAACTGTAATGAATATGGCAGAACTTCAGTAATTTTAAATCAGCCAGATGTTAAAATTCTTTGTTCTTTCATAGTTTTCCCAGAAACAAATCCAGGAAATTCTTACTGGAGCAAGAAAATACTTCAGCAGAAGATGGAAAAAAAAATAGCCTCAGCCAAGAAGAAAGTGAAAGCTCAGGAAATTGTCCCTCACAGGCTGCTTTGCATAATTCACAAGGTTATTACAGTACTCAAATTAGATAAGTTATGTGGACATGCTTTGTAACCATAAAGGGGTTATTATTAGTTTCTTTTGTAAACAGAACATCATTAACAGTTTATGAGGTATGTTAATGAAGTTGGGTGTCTACTAGCATCTCCTCCTTAGATCATGTCCGAAGCCCAAATCTTATTCCTTCCACCTTCAACCTGTTCTTTCCCATCTTAGTAAATGGCAATACTCTTCATCCAATTGGTCCAGCCCCAAATCACAGAGTCACATTTGATTCTTTCTTCACTCACTTGAAACACAACCATTTCACCCACTTGCCCCAACCATTCATCAATACCTCTTACTGGCTCAAGGTTTAAAATTCTGAACACTTCTGGGGCACCTGGGTGGCTCAGTTGATTAAGCGACTGCCTTTGGCTCAGATCATGATTCCAGGGTCCTGGGATGGAGTCCCGCATAGGCTCCTGGCTCAGTGGGGGCCCTGCTTCTCCCTCTGCCCCTACCCCCACTTATGCTCTCTCTCAAATAAAAATAAAATCTTTAAAAATAAATAAAATTCTGAATACTTCTTACCACCTCAATTACCACCATCCTACCCCCAGCTTCCATAATCTCTCACCTAACCTACTATAACAACATTCAAAGTAGCCTCATCATGTCTAGTCTCATCAACTATAGTCTAAGCTTCCCTACTGCAGCTAGAGTGATTCTTTCTAAAGGTTAACTTAGATCATATTATGCTCTGGCTCGAAACTCTCCAATGGCTTCCTCTTCATTTGAGGTTGGATTTTACATCGATTCCTTGAAAACCGTATCAGTCCCTGCTAAATCTGAGGGTACATCCCCAGAGCATTTCTCCAATCTTGTGTATTAGCACACTCCTCCTCCCTCACCCTGTTCTATTCAGTGTCTTCTTGCTGGTCTACGAACACACCAGATAGAGTTCTGCCCTCAGAGCCTCTTGTACTTACAGCACCCTCTGCCTCTAATATTCTTCATCCCAACTATCTGAACGGCAGCCTCCTTTCTTCATTTAGACTCTGCCCTAATTTCCCTTAATCAGAGGCTTTTCCTAAGCACCATATCTAAAATAGAACTATATCAGTCTCTACCCCCCTACACTACTCCATTTTTCCTCATAGTGCTTTTCACTACCTAATATATTCTGGTGGGGAAGAAAAATAAGTACAAACTTCATGAGCATAGGGTCTTTGAAGTTTTGTTCACTATTGTATCCCCAGCAGCTAAAAAGTCTTTGGCATATACTAGGTGCTCAATATACATTTCCTTAATAAAAGAATGAATTATATATATTAAAAGAATGTATAAAATATTTGTAAAATAAAAATATTATATAACATGTATATAATATGTTATACTGTGGTTTTAAAGTGCAAAAGAATTAAGCATTATATTCAATTCAGATGTCTCTTCTGACAAAATACAGAGACTTTAGTGTAATATTCTTTTTTGTTGCTTGAATCATACTTGACTTTCCTGTCAAGAGAAAAAGTTTATAAATGCCTCAAATTGTCTATTATCCAAATATCTAATCTTAAAGCCTCTTTTATTTTTTTGAATCTGGGACTACACAACTTCAATAAAGGTGGAAACCTGATTAATATTCTGAAGAAATAATTTAAAGGTTTAAAAAAAAACCGATCCTGTGATTTTAAAAAAAGTAACAGCACTGTGCTTAAAATTTCTTTTCTTCTTGGTCATCATTGCAAAGCAACATTTGAATGAAGAATGATTAATATGAACGAGCATTTCTAGGCACTTGAGAAACCAAGCCATGCTTCCTAATGCTAATAGTCCATGCAAAGCAAGAAGGTGCCTAGGAATTACAAAATGCCAAACTAATAAGTAGCGAAAGTTAGATTTTGAGGAAGTCTAAGTATGCCTAAATACTCCCAACAGCAACTACAATCTTCCCACTTTGCACAGCCTGCTTTTCTTACTCTCTTTCAAATAGGCCCTAGAGAAACAGACTTGTGTGATGAAAGCAGTGGGAACAGAATCAAGGTCAACACTGTGGCTAGGCCAGTCTAAAACTTGCCAAGATAGCTAATGGTCCATTTAGCCTTTCTTTGCCAAAATTATATATTCTAAATTCTTGGCATTGTCCTGAAGGAAACTTACGGGCTTTGTGTGTTAAATCAAAACTGGATTTGCTGTGGCACTTTAAAATCTCAGTCACCAGATGACATTTCAATTTGGGTCACTGCATCCAACTTTGCAAAAACTGTTTTAAATAGTTTCAATTGGAAAAGTTTATTTGAACTCCAAAAATGAACAAATTAATTCATAAAGGCAGAGACATTTCAATGCTGGGTGAATGATTTTTATTTGGTTTGTACATTCTGCTTCCAATCTGGGAGTTTTTCCACACATACACACAAACCCTGGCTGAAACACAGTCGGAATTCATATGTACTTTTCTATGGAGCTCCAACAAAAATTTCCAGCCTTTTTTTCAAATTTTCACTTGCAAAGCCATTACATCAACGGCTCAGAAATCCATTCAGGTTTGCACACCTCCTGCAGCAATCTGAGCATGGTGATGTGTTTGGGCATACTCTCCCGGGAGATCTCGAAATTAAATGTGGACTTCTTTCCAGGCCCCCGACGCGGCGATGGGCTGTCCCCAGAATCTGGCAGCAGGGCAGGCACCATCGGGAGTTGTTGAAAGTCAGACCTTTTCAGCAGGGAGAGGGCGAGGAAGAGCCTGCAGAGGGCCTGGCAAGCATCCTGGGGCGCTGAGAGAATGCAGAGGAAGGGAAATTTCCCCCTCTTCAAGCTTGGGGAAAGGGACTGACGCCCCCAAAGACTTCCAGCTCGAATCCTACAAGATTCGGTGGTTCCATCGACAATCCCCACCTTCCCACCCTGAATGACCCCCGCGGCAACCCTCCCATCCCTCAACACCCCCAGGACACCATCCTCGGGACCAGGGACGGAGGACTGTGCCAGGCGCCAACACGCCACGCAGCCCGGGGCTGCTGCGCAGACTCGGTTCCCGGGAGGCCGGGACCCGCTCACGCCGCCTATTGGCTGCCCGGCGCGTAGCCCCGCCCCGCCCCAGCGCCCTGGTTTCCGTCGCCAAGGACGCGGCGTCCGTCGGTTGCCAAGATGGCGGCGGCGTCGGCGGGGCCGCTGCCGCCCCCTCCGCCAGGGCCGGGCGAGGTCGCCGCCGCAGCCGCCACAGCCACCATCGCTGCTGCACGGGAACCGGGGCTGCCGTGGCCAACCCTTCCGCGCCCGTGACGCGAGGCCTGAGAGACGGAGTGGAGGGAGGAAGAGGAGGAGGCCGGGGCTGCCATGAGGGAGGCGACAGCGGCGGGCGGGGAGGCGGCGCTGAGGTGAAGGATGCTGGCCTGGAGGCCTGGATCCCGGAGCGCGGTCTCGGGACGGGGCCCCGACTTGTCGGACGCCCGCGACGGAGCCCCCCGCAGCCCCCGCTTGGGCCGCGGGCGCTGCCGGCCTGCCGCCGACCTGTATCCTTCCCGGGGGTGGGGGCCGGGGTGGCGGCGTGGGCGGCGGGCCCCTCGCCCCCTGGGAGCCCGCGTGCGTGGGGCGGGCTGGGCGCGGGGGTATGGCCCGCCTGTGCGGCGGTGGGGTGGTGGGCTGCCCGGTCCTGCGCCCGCACCCCCGCTCCATCTCGGCCGGGTCCCTGAGCGCCCGTCCCCGCCGCACCCCGCCGCCCGGGGCCGTGAGCCCCACCCCCCACTCCCCGCCGTCGGGGTCTGTGAGCCCTGTGCCCCCCAACCTCGTCGTCCGGGTCCGTGAGCCCCGTTCCCCCCCCCGCCGTCCGGGTCCGTGAGCCCCGTTCCC